TTTTTGTGTTAGGATTTCCTTTATCCTTTTACTGATTAAGTGGAGTGAAATGGATCTGAATCGGAAGCCACAGACCTTGGTTGAGACTTTTGACTGAGCCAACTCCAATTCTATCCTGGAGTATATGTCAGGGCTCTCATAACTTTGTTGACTTATCCTGTATCAACATGCACAGCTGAGCGTAGCTTCTCCTTTATGAAGGACCACGACAGACTAGAGATTGAGCTCTGTTGTAAGTCTGCATATACACAAGCACAAGGACGTAATTGATATTGATGGCATTATAACAGAATTTGCCCGTCTGAAGGGTACACATCTCGCCCTTTGCTTGTAACATCCTTGATGGCGTCACTGTTTTACCATTTTTTGCCGTAAAGTCTGTACCTTACCGATAACACTAGAGATAGATTGGTAAAATAGACAACTTATTATTGCATTTTCCTTTGTCTTTATTTACTGAAAATGTCCTGCAGAGAACGCAGGAGATGGCATTTCCGAGACCCCAAATTTAAAAATTTTCTGGGGGAGCATGACCCCAGACTCCCCCAGGTTTTGGGCACCTTTGGCGAGCTAACTTTTCTTCCCCTGTGTGCACCTTCAAAATCTCATGCTACGCTGCTAACTACCGGTATCTTATAGCTTATGAAATCAATGCCCGAGGATGGAAGAAGAGACTTGGTCTAGAAGGGGTTGGAGAGGGGGGGGTGCATTTTAAAAATTGTTATTGCCAGGGGGGGGATACAATTTTCATATGTAATTATTTGGGGGGTGTAAAATTTTGATACACAACAATTTTCTTAAAACCCCGCCCCCTCCTAGGACGTAAAATGTATGGTCCCTAATAGTCGAGTCACGAACAAAACAACTAATAATTGTTGAAAGTTACTCAGGATCCAGGCAGGATATGCTGCAGTTAGTCCAAACTTGAGAAACTGAATTCTTCATTAAACGATCATTAAGCTTTATACTTCAAAAGAGGTCAAAGAATTAATTCCCTAATGCTTCAGAGGTCAAATTCTGTCAAAGACAAAAACCACAGTAAGTCAATGCTGGAATGCATAGGAAACACATCGGCCTCATGACCTCACAATCAGCAAAGATTACCATTTGCTCAGTCAAAAACAAGAATCCTCCACAGCATACTCCAGCCATATTTCTAACGTTCAAGTTTTAAATGATCAAGTGCTCTTTTTATGTTGAGCTTGGATGGATCAGGGCAGTTAATTTGCACTGCATAACAAAAGGCATTATTATCTGATGCACTTTTGTTATTATAATAGCCAAAAAGAGATTAGTTCCTCTTTAAATAATGGGTGGCAGAAGATGTGTCTTAAATTTTGAGATCTATTTCCCTCAAAAAAATGTCTTTTGAGAATTTCTTTCAAGTGGAAATCTTATTATGGAGTGAGTGGAGCTGGTTTATAGCTTGCTAAATTTGATTTATTTTCACATGAACGCACTATAACTTTTTCCTTGGGAGATAGAGGAGATATTAATTATCATTTGATAGGCGTTTTATCGCTTCTCAGCCAATTAGAAACTCCCGTAAGCCTACAATTGGCTGCGGACTATTTAAAATGCCCAAGAATTGTGGCAGGTGGGACTTCAAATTGACTTGAAAACCCACTCTTCTCGCAGCTCTGCTGCCAAAACAATACAGCACTCCCACGTTAATCCCGCCAGCTTAATGCAGGCTAGATCCATTGTGGGGCTTAAAAAAGTGTGCAAATTTCCCACCCACCCAAATTCTATTTTCTTGTAATTTAGTAATTTAAGTTGCAAAATGCCATATTTATAGGAAATCTGTAACAATCTTATCAAAATGCATAAAGCACCCTTCACAAATTGCTAATAGCCACTTAGATTATAATTGTAAAAAAGATCACATCTATCTAATTATAAATACCAATGACATAACTATAAACTAGAATTGTAATAATACCTTTCTTATTTTCAAAGGTATTTAAAATAGTAAATGATAAACAAACAGCTGATGAGCTTAACATTTTCTCATCACGTCAGTAAAACCGTTCCATCAAAGTTTTAATTGTCACATTGATCACACAAAACGCAAAGTTTATATTAGCTTTCAAATTTCTCGCAGAGCTTTTCTAGGCCTTTCTGCTTACAAAGAATGTGTCTTTTCCTTTAAACTCTTCAAATGATGCATTATTGTTTTGTTTTTTTTTCATGTGCGATCGTGATGGCAGAGGCAGTTTTTTAGAGGGATACAAAAAATACTGTGGGGCAGGGTGGTCAATGGAGCAAAAGCCACCCATATCTTTTGAAAGTAAATGTACTAAAAATATTCTTTATAGAAATTATAGCAATCTAAATAGGCATATTTTTTAAGTGAAATATTGAAAAACGCACAATGTTGTCCGCTTCTTCTAGAAGAATTGACAATTGCCTCACCCCTGGGCAGAGGTTTTCTGACAAACTCCCCACCAACAAGATAACAAATGCCCGAAAAAATTTAATGCCCTAGGGGTGGGGTGGGTGGGATGGACACTCTTGTTTTTACCTAGGCTTAATAATTAAGCTTTCTTTGAACAATTATGTCAGTTTTGACGGTTGTAAAATTGCTCATTACAAGTAATAAGAGGACAAATTGAAGTTCATTTTCATTTAAGGACTTTGATACAAGGCATTAATGTCAGTCAAAGGTGTTAGTAAATGTGAAGCAATTAATTTAAAAACTGAAATTATGCACAGGTGGGTGTGATATTATTTACCTCTCATTTTTAAGCTGGAGGAGGGGGAGACCAGGCATAGGCCGGGGATTTGAACTAAAAGCATTTTTTCACATCAAACACCCAACCCCAGGGACATTTTAGATGGTCAAACCTCCTCCCTAACTACTCGGTCAAAGTAATATCTTCCCAGTCTGCTCGGATGCCAATGTCTTTCAGAATTTCCTTTCTGAGTTAGTCTGTCAGCACATTTTCTTGCATTGAGCTGGGAATGTTTTCCACTTATAAAGGTAAAAAAATTTTTATCTGTTAACGTGGCAATTTCCTTGCTTTCAAACTCAAGCAAACAGTCAATAAGAGTTAAACCTCACGACACACCAAGAACGAGACGAGGTTGGAATGGATGGATTCACGAGTAGGAAAGAACCCTGAGAATGAGCTCAAATAATAGATACCTTCAAGTGTTACTTTTAATTTGCATCATGTTCATCTCTCCTCCTCCTCCTTACACATGTGATAAGAAAATAACCCACAGATCCTTATGGAAACTATGACTGCCATCTTTGTTTAAGCAACTGGAGTGGTAACCAGGTCTTTCTCAACTTCCATTCCAAATCCCTGGTCCCCACCCCAGCAACTGGTGATAATCAAAAGTGGTCACCACAGGCTGACTTGCCGATAATTTCCAAAAAAGTGAAATAAATAATTCTTGGAGCACTTGGATCGAGCTTGAGTGTCCAAGGTTTTATATAATTCACTATTTTTACTTTATTTCTGCTCCAAATCATTTATTTCTGGTTGCCTGTGACAGGAATAATTTAAAACGTGAAAGCTTCCTAGAGGGTTATGTTTACAACAGAAATCTTCTGGAAATAAAGGAAATTTGTACTTGCTGTCAACTCTCAGGATAGGAAGGTGATAGCTGCATTTATTCTTCACTATTTAAAAGATATTTCAAGGATGTCATGTCTGATTTGCCCAAGGTTAATGAGATATAAATACCTCCTGCAAGTCAATGTTGTAACTCAGCTGTGACCTCCTGCAGGTAGATGTTACCCAGTAAATGGAATGCTTTTTGAAAAAAGAGAAACAGAAAATTGTACAATGTGAAGGAGGCTTAAAGTAAATAAATTAAAAAGGTTTATTTTCAAGAGGAAAGTATTTAATTTACCTATCGTAGCTCTTGGTGGGTAGGTTAGCAAACGTTTTAAGAAAGGAAAAGCAGCAAATTATATGATGTAACCTTATAATGAAAGCTTTCAAAAATAAGTTTATTCTCAACTAGAAAATGTCTAAAAGATGGATAGATGGTTGGTATTACATGCAGTTGTGTTTTATCTGCTGACTTTTACCTACCATGGCCACTTCAATGTTGCCTGGCTTCACACAACTACAATTTCCTTTGTTTCATGCAAAAAGGTGTCCCTTTTCGCATGCAACAAAGGAAACAGCAGACATCTGCATGCAGGCTTGATTGCGATGCCTCTGACAGAAACTGTTTGCCAAACCTTTTCTTTAACTAGCTCCTGGGCTTTTTCTTAATTGCCATTCCTAATCTTCTGTGAATTGACGGTCTCACTCTGTAAAAGTGACAATATTGGTACCAACGTTGTGATTGTCTTCCAAATTTGGGACCTTTCTGCACTAGCAGACAAACTTGGAAATTGTGTTTAAAACATCTAGACCAAAAATTGTATTGTGACAATTTTGCTTTGGAAACGTTTATCCACACTGAAAACTATTTATGCTTAACAGGTCGTCGCATCTGTCATTACTTAATGGAAAGAATTAATAATGGCTTTACCAAATGATTCATAAGAAAAGCACGATTTTGTCCAGTTTTTACCTGGCACAAATTTTGTCTGCGGTGCCTTTGAGGATAAATCCCATCTGGGGCAAAATTTCTAAAATTGCGACAAACCGTCCGCATTTGTGAAGCATCGGTGATGACAGAATATTTCTCTAAATAGACAGCTTTTTCGCTTAAGTGCAGATAGGCCCTTAGTCAATGCCATCAGCTGGTTGTGAAGAGTTGGCCAGGGGACTTGAGCCAATTAGAAATGGAGAGATAATTTGCGTAAAATAATAATAATGACTGTTCTCTTTGCAAAGATGTTTATTTTACATATATATGCATTTTCTGAACCTTGAGATTTCTTTTCCTTTTTGTTCTTTAAAGTTCACCTATTTAAAATACACTGTCAGGGGTGATCAATAATAATGTTTATTTGCTAATTACCAATTATATTATTTTCATTTTAGATTACAAAGAAAGGACAAGGCTACCTTTATTTAATATTTTGAAACATGGAGGGTTATTCCAGTGCAACATTAAAAGCCTGTGTTAAAGATGGAGGTGGAGTAGCAAGTTTGAATCTGAATGGCAGAGGACTTCTGAGGGTTCCTAAGGCAGTCACTGGACTGAATGGACTGGAGGAACTCAGACTGGATAACAATAACCTGACTGAGTTACCAACAAATATTAACGAGCTGAAAAGTCTTATCAGGCTCCATTTGAATGGTAACAAACTAACAAAACTGCCATCTCAGATTTTTGACCTGAAAGAGCTGAAAAGGCTGTATGTGGATAACAACCGGTTGGTTGGTTTACCAACCAGTATACAGAAGCTGAACCAACTTGAAGAGCTGTACTTGGATGGTAACAAACTTAGAGAACTGCCTTCTGAGATTGGTGACTTAAAAGAGCTGAGGAGGCTGGATGTGAGAAACAACCAGTTGGTTAGATTACCTACCAGTATACAGAAGTTGAACCAGCTTGAGAGGTTGTTTTTGTCTGGTAACCAACTTACAGAACTGCCTTCTGAGATTGGTGACTTAAAAGAGCTGAGGAGGCTGAATGTGAAAAACAACCAATTGGTTAGTTTACCTACCAGTATACAGAAGTTGAACCAGCTTGAGAGGTTGTTTTTGTCTGGTAACAAACTTACAGAACTGCCTTCTGAGATTGGTGACTTAAAAGAGCTGAGGAGGCTGAATGTGAAAAACAACCAATTGGTTAGTTTAACTACCAGTATACTGAAGTTGAACCAGCTTAAGAGGCTGTTTTTGTCTGATAACAAACTTAAAGAACTGCCTTCTGAGATTGGTGACTTAAAGAAGCTGAGGTGGCTGAGTGTGAGTAACAACCAGTTGGTTAGTTTACCTACCAGTATGCAGAAGCTGAACCAGCTTGAGGAGCTGCACTTGTATGATAACAGACTTACAGAACTGCCTTCTGAGATTGGTGACTCAAAGAAGCTTAGGAGGCTGGATGTGAGTTCTAACCAGTTGGTTAGTTTACCTACCAGTATGCAGAAGCTGAACCAGCTTGAGGAGCTGTACTTGAATGATAACAGACTTACAGAACTGCCTTCTGAGATTGGTGACTTAAAGAAACTGAAGTGGCTGGATGTGAGTGGGAATCTGTTACGTTCTGATGCAATACATGCTCTAGAGATGAAGAAAAAGGAAATAACCAGTTCTGTTATTACAGGTGGGTGTGGGGATGATTTTCAATAAAATTGTCCTCAATAAGACAGTTTTTGGAATGGTACTTATAGTACTTATATATGTGAAATATTTCAATTTAAAAAGTGCCATTATTTTTGTCTTTGCCGGTAATAAATCGCGAACAAAATTAGAAATGGCCAAACAAAACCTTCCTTCGTAATTTGTGTTAAGTTAGTAAGTTTCAGATGAAATTCAGATGAAACTACTTACTGTGGCATTTGTTTGAATGCTAACAAAAACCTGCGCTGAGCATCATCAAGGCTAAAAAAGACGTTTCTGAACAAATGGTTTTTTGATCAAAGTTGTGGCAAGATGTAAATATTTTACCCGACACGTTTTTGCATGGCAAGCAAATTAAAATGTATACTTGAGAAAAAATAGTAACTTTTTACATCTGTTTTTCGCCGTTAACTTTCTTTTAATGTCATTGGGGCGATATTGAGCAAGAGCCTATTTATTTATCAATTATTGAATGAGGTTGAGTATGATGTGAAAAATTATGCAGATCGAGGAGGATTTTAGGTGGATAACAGCCTCCGAGATCTACATTTTTCTTCACATCATAAGGAAGCCGAATTCACCGCAGTAATTGTTTTATTTTAATGTCTCTAAGTTCTTTGCTAATTGTACCTCCTCCTAGACTTTCTTCTAAACTTAGGTCTATTTCTTGGCACGGTTTCAGGATATTATCAGATGTTTTCTTGCAGATACTCCTTAAAACGTAGAAAACATCCATTGAGCAGTATGTTTTGCGTAATCTTGCATTTCTTCCGTTCAGCTTTAGTCATAAGTTCAGCTATTTTCTCTTCGGATAGCCGTGAACGCCCTTTTTTTAGTTCACTTGTGAATAGAGCAATTTTCAATTGAGTGTTGACAGTAATCCAGGATTGAATTGGTTTTGCTTTACTGTGCTGTTTGATTGGTCTAGAAAACTCGCGCCACCCTCTCAGCCAATCAGATGTAAACTAAAACCAATCGCTCCTTGGTCACTCGCGTTTTCCCGCGCTACAGGCCGGTTACACGCGTTTACTTCGAGTTGTCATTGGCTCCCTCTGATAATTTCCTTTACTCTGATTGGCCGTTGTGATTACTTTGGTTTTGGTTTTCGACACTCAATTGAAAAGCGCTCTAAACAGCTAGATACCCTAAGTACAGAGGTTTCTCCCTGGTGTGGGGAAACGTCTTTTGCCGAAGGGTCAATAGAACTACTCACTAGGCGTTTGAGAAAGCTGTTTATAACACCTTTCGGAAGGAGACTGTGGAGGAAAATCTTAGCACCACTGAATTTGCTTATCGTGAAAGTGGAAATTGTACTAGTGCACTGTTAGCGATCAAGCACTTCATCTAAAAACACTTAGATAATCCAGACTGTGAGGCAGAACGGGTATTCGCAATGGACATTCAGCAAAGCGTTCGACTTAGTCAGGCACGAGTTACTATCTGATAAACTAAAGTTGCTGCCCCTGAATGCCTATATTATCAACTGGTATCACAGTTTTCTTTATAACAGACAACAACGCATGGTCCACAACAACCACCTTCACGAGTGGAAAGGAGTAAATAAGGGGACAACGCAGGGTAGTGTGAGCGGCCCCTACTTATTTAACGTGTTCTTGAATGACCTTGAAATCAAGCTAGGTTCCACTCCCGCCCTTTTTGAGTATGCAGATGACTCAACCATTGTCGCTCCAGTATTGATTGGGGGGAGTGATACGTCAAGTGGTTTAGTGGAGAAGTTTTTGACTCAGCTGGGCGAGCTGTAATTCCATGAGTTGTAACCCTTACAAGTGTAAAGAACTTGTCATAAAGAAGAAAAGGAACTCAACATTCTATCCTGTTGTACGTAATATACCACAACATACCACTCTTGATCTATTAGGTTTGACCTTTTAGAATGACTGTAGATTTTTTGCACATATAAAAGCTAAACTGTGCAAGGCCAACAAATGTCTACACGTGCTGAGAGTATGTAGAAAAGAGCGCTACAGCCAGACAGAAATGGATTATCTCTTCTATAGCATTGTTCTTCCCAACATGACTACGGACTATATCTGTTTATGGCGCCCCCGATGCGGAAATTAATGTCCTTCAGCAATTTTTAGACAGATGCTATAAGTTGCGTTTTATATCTACGCAGTTAAATATTAGATCATTACTGCAAAAACAAGATAAAGCGATTTTTAAAAAGTTAAACAGGGTGATAATCACCCTCTGAAGGTTTGCTTACCGCAAGAAAAGAACAATTTAACCTACAACCGTAGGCGTAAAAGCTGCAAAAGGCCCAAAATAAACACCGAACGTTATAAGAACACATTTGTAAATATACTATTTTTAAATACCACCTTTTATGATATTTTATGTTTGATATTTTATCTAGGTTTTTTTTTCACATTTTTATCTTTTTATTCTATTGTAATTTGGCTGAACTTTTAATCTTTTTATCCTGTAACATTAGATATGTGTTTTTATCTAATGAGCAATAAAGACATTTATTATTATTATTATTATTATCATAACTATAACAAAATTGTCAAAACTGATTGGCTATCAACTGCCCTGATTTCAACCTTAATAGGACAGTTTAATAGGACAGTACGCGTCATGCCTAAGTAATTGGACAGTACGCACCACCACGCGCGCGATTAAATGGCTTTTTTTTTTCACTGCTAGGAAAACAAAATTTGGCATTTCTTGTGTTTTGATTTAAAAAATAGCCTATTATATCACAAATTTTGTTAGAGTTATGATTAATTGGTAACAGAACTTCGTGTCGTCCAATTCGGTCTGTAATCATACTCGTGATTAAACAAATCGGACTCCCGTTGTTAATCACTCGTATGATTACAGACCCGACTGGACTCCACTCAGTCCTGTTACCATTACTTATTATTAGAAAGACTTGACAGAAACCGCAAAACCGCACATGAAAAGTCTCTTGCATCCGGTCTGGAAACAAGGTTGATCGATGGTCTATTACTTATGCAGCCTCCTTTTCAGGCAAATATACCATCGATCAACCTCATTTCCAAACCAGTATGTCATGAAATCGATGGTATATTGCTCACATCCTCCAGAGTAAGTCAATTTGCACAATTCACCAGCCTTGGGTATTATTTTTCGTTATTATTCATTCAAAATATTTCGCCGTCGGTCTAATTGTTTCCAATCCCCTCGCTAATTCTTCATAACCAACTGGCGCTTACTATATTTGGAAGATGCGAGCAATATACCATCGATTCGTCGGTATAAATAATTTATGAATAACTATTATGATATACCATCGATCAACCTCGTTTCCAGGCGCGGCAGCGTAACTGTATATTCCTGGGTCAACTAAAAAAATGGCATTCGTCGGCCTTCCGCCTCGGTGGATAACATCCTCCTCGATCCGCATAATTCTTCACATCGTAGTACTTCACAGCCTCATTCAATAATTGCTAAATATACTGGGTACCAGACTGGATTTATTTACCACTATTATTATTCATTCAAAATATGTCGTCGTTTATATTCAGTGGAAGCTCTCGTGAGCGGGTACCACCCTCGGGATGCGAAAAAGGTGCCCGTAACTGGAGCTGGCGGCCGCTTACAGGAATGGAAAAATAGAGAGTTTGTATGGGAGTTGAGAAAAACGTGTTTTTTGTGAAGGCGACCGTTGGTAGAGCTATCCGCTTACGAGAGTGTTCATTAGAAGAGCTTCCACTGTATTTCAGTCGCAACTTCAGTTCTAAGCTTTCTGGGGTACTGTATACGTAGACATAGAGACATCTTCAGGTTTATCCTAATTTATCTTATTATTGCATCTTATTTTCTGCAAGGTGGAAAGAAGAAGCCTTCGTTCGAACAAGCTGCTGAAACTGCAATGCTTTCGAATGCTGGCGAAGAGGAACTTGAAGAAGTGGTCGAGACTGTGTTACCTGTGAAAGTCGCTAAAGAAGAGGTTGTTGTAAAGCCCGAAGATGAAACTGAAGTTGAAGACAATACTTGTGTTGGCGAAAGCAGAAGTGTCATCAAAAGGTAAGTGTCATTTGAATAAAAATTCAGTGGAACCTCCGATGACGGCAACGGCAGTGTAAAGTTACTTACAAATTTCATTTGTGTAAAGGTACCACCGAGGCGTTGTTTGTCGACCTCTGGTGAGTGGTTTAACCGCTTCGATTTTCGAAAGTGGTGATAGAAGAAGCCCTACCGATAAACTCGTAATCAGAAATAACAAGCTTGAACATTTTCCCCAAAAAGAGAGAAATTAACGTCGATGTGCTACACTTGTTAAAAAAAGGAAAGTGGCAGTGAAACATTCTTGTTCCGCGCGAGATCACATACCGTGACGTCTCGTTTTCGATAGTTTTCCTCTTTCATCCTTTCACACCAGTGAGGGAAATCGACCTTTCCTCTCTGGAGAGCGTTATTTAAATAGTTGTGTTTTAGTGAGTGTTTAATTCTGATTTGGGTTATATCTGTAGACGGAAGACTGATTCCACGAAAAAAGATGCGTTTTCAAAGACCCGAAAAAGGTGTCTGCTCTCGCAGGCTTGGATACTTGTGGACGGGGCCTAATATTTTTAATGTCTTTTATTTTTTGCACGGGTTGAGTGCATCGTGTGCACTCTGCATCTACAACATGAGTTTTACGTAAAGGGCAAAAAGTCTATATTTTATACGGCGTTTTTATTCTTCGTTCACGAATTTCCAGCGTGTGCGAAACTTGTTAAAAGTACAATTACGTTCTTTTCGTTATACTTATTTTTTTCTTTAAAAGATGATCTGAATAGTCACTTCGAAGACCCCCATTGAAAAGTGTTTCGCTCACCGTAACAGTAAGCATAATTATTCATCGTAGACGAGCATCCGACTGAACGTCACAATCAAAATTTGCTAAACTTTCTGTTTTTTTCAATAGAGAATTGTTTGAAATTCAACAACTACAGACTTTTGTCAACGCTAAGGGTAGAGTATCCTAATTTTGGAGGATAAAAGCAGCTAAGAGTTGATGTCGAATAATATAGTTAACATTATATTATATTTATATTCTAGTACGACGATTTTTTCCTTGAACTCGTCGTTTAGAAGAAGACTAGCACTGACCCCTACACTGCGTCAAAAAAGAAAAAAAACTCCCCTATCCCCCCAGAATCTTTACATATTATATTCTCCATTTATTGTAGATTTTACTCGAACATTGAACTATTGAAAGCTGTGTTCTGCAAACAACCGACTATTAAAATTTTGGCTCATTGCAGAAAAATAGTGAGCAGTGAAGGTACCTGCTGGGCCCTCAAACTAGGGGCTGTCCATCTTATATTCCATCCAAATGCTGTGTCTGAGCCTACGTCAATAGTGGTCTACAGATGGAGATCCAGTGTCTGCTCACCCCCACTACAGGAACACGAGGCTATTGTCAGCAATGTTATTGAACTATCTTCCCACGATGGCCAACGCCTGCAATTCAATGCCATGGTGACTTTGTCACTTTCTCACAGTGCACCGGAACTACGGGGCTATGAAGTGGTGATAAAAAGGCAGATCAACAAGGAGACCAATGAATGGGAAGACGTGAGTGGAACCAAGAACTTACGCTGTCGCCAAGGTATAGAAATGTTCTCTATGTAGTAGACTTAAAGCAACTATAGAGAACCGTTTGGCAGATCCTGTTTCTGTAAGCAGGATGCGGCGTACGTCTTCTGTATTGCTGAAGGGTTTGCTTTGTTTCTTTTTAAGATAGTGTTATTACGTGTTACAGTTGCGCTTGCGCTCTCGATCTGAGACTTGTTTTTCTTTTTTCCCGGTGTTGATTTATATAACGTCAGTCTTTTTTAGATGCCAAAGAAAGTGTATCTGATAGTTACATTTTACTGGTATTTTGTATCGGTAACAGATATCGAAGATGAGCACCTTTTTCAAAAGGATATACCAGATCCTTTCTTTCCTGTTGTTCAAGCTGATATAACTGAGGGCTCGACATATGCAGCGGTTTGCCGTCTCAAATCTTCTCCAACTTACACCATCACACCTGCTGGTGGCTTATTTAGTCATCCTCATTATCCAGGGGTGATGATTACAGTCCCTGAGAATGCTGTTGCACCTGAAACGGCGTTTTCCCTGGTGCTAAAGGTTAGTGTTATTACAAAGCTCCATACATAATCAGAGTAGAATAGCGGATATAATCAGCCCCATGGCCTTTTAAAGTGATATAGTTTCTTGAATATGACAGCCTAGTCTGTGTAAAGCCGCCCCCTCCTCTCAGAAAAAATCGGAGAATGGGCGATTGACTGGCGTGGGTGGCTGTATATAGGCTAATGACAGCCTAAATAGTCTCGATGGTTTGATTGAAAAATCTTATACTGATTATTTGGAGACTGATCCTTTTGATAAGGTTTTTAATATCTGAGTTAAGTTTTCACTTACATAACTTATGACGACGCAAAGTCGTTCTCAATTCAATTACTTTTTGTAATGGTACAGGTGCAAGAAGTTCCTAATAAAGAATTTGAAGAGGAAGGTGTATTTCTTGGACCTATTCTGCGAATTAAATGCTTTGAGGTTGTCCAGTTCTTAAGGCCTGTAACCATTCAGCTACCAGTTTCTCTTCGAGACCAGGAGGACTTTAATCCAGATCCCACTAAATGCCATGTGAGAGTGTTGTTCCTGAATTGCGAGGAGGAAAAAAGGGAATGGATTGAACTCACTGATCTGGTAGAACCGACACAGTTTGACGCAAAGCTTGTTAGGATCCAAGTCCAACGATTTTCTGGGTAAAGATACTTCAGAAATCACTAGTATTTACTAGATAAATGGCCAGTTGAGTCCTTTTTTTATCCAAAATGTTGATCAAACTTCACTCAACGTTGTTGGATACAACGTTTTAGAGCCGTTCGAACACCATGTTGAATGGTGCTGGGTGTTGCTAGATCTGGTTTAAACGTTTAAAACTACAATTTTGGACAAATTAAAATAAAATGGAACTTCAAACCCCAATCCCCCAAATCAAGGATGAAACCGCGGAGAAGCCACTGAAACGCGCCATTTTCCCATCCTTGATTTCGGGGAGAGGAGGTATAAATTTCACATTTATTTTGTCCAAGATTGTGGCATTGGACATCATCAGGCATTTCTCTTGTTTAAGTGTGCGATGGCCACAATTTTGAATGGTCGAACCCTCAATTAAACTTTGTTTGCTTTATTGTTTAGTAAGCAATACCTCTTCACTCGCGCTTCACATTTCTTGTAAATAATTAGCTCAGAATTCACTCTTCCTACGCAAGCCCCTATACATCACTGCATCACATTATCCAACTTCGTTGGATGCAGTTGGTGGGTTGGCCTAAACGCACCTTTAGGTGCCTGAATGTGTCCACGTAATTATCAAAAAGCCAGTATAGTACTTCTTTCAAAGCATCCTTAGGCCTGAGGCAAATTGTAAGAAAATACCCAAGTCGATATCAATATAAGAAGAACGAGAGAACGGACTTAATTTGACGCGTCTATCAGACTATTTCTAATTTTTTCTTTTCAGTCTACTGGAAAATTTACATGGGCTCGGCGATTACGTAGAATAATCAAAGATTCGACCTTGTCATTTTAAGGCTCGTAACAAGTGCATCCACGCTGGTTTACATTAATTCAGTTTCGATTTTTTGGTTGTTCTAGATATTCGTTTCTTTTTGAGCGGCGTGAAGAAAACTCCAGACCTTATGGACAGAGGATCTTAAGTTACTTTACCGGCTTCACTAGAACGCAGCCCCGAGCAGCAAGTTTCGTCGCCTACTTCCGTCCAGATATTTCAAATATTTTATTCCTTATTTGTTGCTCTGCTCACCTTAAACAAGAGGTGATACAAGATCTTGAAAACAGAGACGTAACGCGGTTTGCTGATGGCAGTTCGATGAAATGTATGTTACCTGGAGAGGACGGTGACAAAGCATTTGTGTTTTTGTCAGGAGGAATACGCCCATATGATGAGGAGGACGAAAATAACATTTTTCTTTGGTGAGCTCATTTATTATGTATTTAAAATATTTCCCAGTTTCTCCTTGGCTCAAATCCCACGCGGCTAATTCTTGAGAACCAGCTAGCGTTGACCAAATCAGTACAAAATGGCGGAACATCCATCACTGTGCATACTTTTTAAGAACAGACCGGTCTGAACAGTCGTGATTAATAGTTAAATTCTCTCCGGTGACTGAACAGTTCTGTCTAATGGTAAGCGAAGGATAACTCGGCACTACATCACGCATGTTTCTCTCTTACATTTAAACAGGTTATTAGAGGACGATATTCCGTTTAAGACTGAATTGCGCGTTTGTCTCGTTGAGGACGAAGAGCTAGCACAAGTGGAATTTCGAAACACCCTGGCACACACAGGCAGAAAGGGTCTGTTGTGTAAATTTCACTTAACTTTGCCCTCCCGCAAAATGCCCCTCGCGGTAAGTATAACTTATCATTTTAAGCTGGAGCATTTCATCTGTTCAAATCTCCTATCAGTTGAAAAATTCTGGGTCAGTCATTTAACGGAGTTTAGCCAATGTTTAACAAATCCACCAGAACCTCGTTCCAAGTCATTTTCAGTTTGCCAAATGCTATTATCTAAACACCGTCTATGTGAACAATTTCGTGAAAGCATATAGTGTAGACTAGAAAAGCATTTATCTGGAGATGCAGTGATTTCTTAAACCGCGGCCTAAGTTAGATTTCGTATAAATAACCAACCCTTTGTATTGCAACTTAAGAGTGAACGAGCAGTTTGCTCAAGATTCACTGTAGTTGTAAGCTGTTTCTTGTAGAACTTTTGCCTGTCCAAGCAGTGAGAAAGTTTACTCAAATTGTTGCAGGTATTAAAATTAAAATCACGTCATTTGAAAGACAATCAAGACTTTCCTCTTAATTAACTAGGAGTAATCGGAGCTTAGAAGAGTGCGTTCGATATGTTTGTAAGGCGTACAGGTAGCAGTTGAGGAGGAAGGGTGGATGGTTATTGCGATAGATGTTCCGCCATTTTGTACTGATTTGGTCAACGCTAGCTGGTTCTCAAGAATTAGCCGCGTGGGATTTGAGCCAAGGAGAAACTGGGAAATATTTTAAATACATAATAAATGAGCTCACCAAAGAAAAATGTTATTTTCGTCCTCCTCATCATATGGGCGTATTCCTCCTGACAAAAACACAAATGCTTTGTCACCGTCCTCTCCAGGTAACATACATTTCATCGAACTGCCATCAGCAAACCGCGTTACGTCTCTGTTTTCAAGATCTTGTATCACCTCTTGTTTAAGGTGAGCAGAGCAACAAATAAGGAATAAAATATTTGAAATATCTGGACGAAAGTAGGCGACGAAACTTGCTGCTCGGGGCTGCGTTCTAGTGAAGCCGGCAAAGTAACTTAAGATCCTCTGTCCATAAGGTCTGGAGTTTTCTTCACGCCGCTCAAAAAGAAACGAATATCTAGAACAACCAAAAAATCGAAACTGAATTAATGTAAACCAGGGTGGATGCACTTGTTACGAGCCTTAAAATGACAAGGTCGAATCTTTGATTATTCTACGTAATCGCCGAGCCCATGTAAATTTTCCAGTAGACTGAAAAGGAAAAATTAGAAATAGTCTGATAGACGCGTCAAATTAAGTCCGTTCTCTCGTTCTTCTTATATTGATATCGACTTGGGTATTGTCTTACAATTTGCCTCAGGCCTAAGGATGCTTTGAAAGAAGTACTATACTGGCTTTTTGATAATTACGTGGACACATTCAGGCACCTAAAGGTGCGTTTAGGCCAACCCACCAACTGCATCCAACGAAGTTGGATAATGTGATGCAGTGATGTATAGGGGCTTGCGTAGGAAGAGTGAATTCTGAGCTAATTATTTACAAGAAATGTGAAGCGCGAGTGAAGAGGTATTGCTTACTAAACAATAAAGCAAACAAAGTTTAATTGAGGGTTCGACCATTCAAAATTGTGGCCATCGCACACTTAAACAAGAGAAATGCCTGATGATGTCCAATGCCACAATCTTGGACAAAATAAATGTGAAATTTATACCTCCTCTCCCCCCGAAATCAAGGATGGGAAATGGCGCGTTTCAGTGGCTTTTCCGCGGTTTCATCCTTGATTTGGGGTGATTGGGGTTTGAAGTTCCATTTTATTTTAATTTGTCCAAAATTGTAGTTTTAAACGTTTAAACCAGATCTAGCAACACCCAGCACCATTCAACATGGTGTTCGAACGGCTCTAAAACGTTGTATCCAACAACGTTGAGTGAAGTTTGATCAACATTTTGGATAAAAAAAGGACTCAACTGGCCATTTATCTGGTAAATACTAGTGATTTCTGAAGTATCTTTACCCAGAAAATCGTTGGACTTGGATCCTAATTAACAAGCTTTGCGTCAAACTGTGTCGGTTCTACCAGATCAGTGAGTTCAATCCATTCCCTTTTTTCCTCCTCGCAATTCAGGAACAACACTCTCACATGGCATTTAGTGGGATCTGGATTAAAGTCCTCCTGGTCTCGAAGAGAAACTGGTAGCTGAATGGTTACAGGCCTTAAGAACTGGACAACCTCAAAGCATTTAATTCGCAGAATAGGTGCAAGAAATACACCTTCCTCTTCAAATTCTTTATTAGGAACTTCTTGCACCTGTACCATTACAAAAAGTAATTGAATTGAGAACGACTTTGCGTCGTCATAAGTTATGTAAGTGAAAACTTAACTCAGATATTAAAAACCTTATCAAAAGGATCAGTCTCCAAATAATCAGTATAAGATTTTTCAATCAAACCATCGAGACTATTTAGGCTGTCATTAGCCTATATACAGCCACCCACGCCAGTCAATCGCCCATTCTCCGATTTTTTCTGAGAGGAGGGGGCGGCTTTACACAGACTAGGCTGTCATATTCAAGAAACTATATCACTTTAAAAGGCCATGGGGCTGATTATATCCGCTATTCTACTCTGATTATGTATGGAGCTTTGTAATAACACTAACCTTTAGCACCAGGAAAACGCCGTTTCAGGTGCAACAGCATTCTCAGGGAATGTAATCATCACCCCTGGATAATGAGGATGACTAAATGAGCCACCAGCAGGTGTGATGGTGTAAGTTGGAGAAGATTTGAGACGGCAAACCGCTGCATATGTCGAGCCCTCAGTTATATCAGCTTGAACAACAGGAAAGAAAGGATCTGGTATATCCTTTTGAAAAAGGTGCTCATCTTCGATATCTGTTACCGATACAAAATACCAGTAAAATGTAACTATCAGATACACTTTCTTTGGCATCTAAAAAGACTGACGTTATATAAATCAACACCGGGAAAAAGAAAAACAAGTCTCAGATCGAGAGCGCAAGCGCAACTGTAACACGTAATAACACTATCTTTAAAAAGAAACAAAGCAAACCCTTCAGCAATACAGAAGACGTACGCCGCATCCTGCTTACAGAAACAGGATCTGCCAAACGGTTCTCTATAGTTGCTTTAAGTCTACTACATAGAGAACATTTCTATACCTTGGCGACAGCGTAAGTTCTTGGTTCCACTCACGTCTTCCCATTCATTGGTCTCCTTGTTGATCTGCCTTTTTATCACCACTTCATAGCCCCGTAGTTCCGGTGCACTGTGAGAAAGTGACAAAGTCACCATGGCATTGAATTGCAGGCGTTGGCCATCGTGGGAAGATAGTTCAATAACATTGCTGACAATAGCCTCGTGTTCCTGTAGTGGGGGTGAGCAGACACTGGATCTCCATCTGTAGACCACTATTGACGTAGGCTCAGACACAGCATTTGGATGGAATATAAGATGGACAGCCCCTAGTTTGAGGGCCCAGCAGGTACCTTCACTGCTCACTATTTTTCTGCAATGAGCCAAAATTTTAATAGTCGGTTGTTTGCAGAACACAGCTTTCAATAGTTCAATGTTCGAGTAAAATCTACAATAAATGGAGAATATAATATGTAAAGATTTTGGGGGGATAGGGGAGTTTTTTTTTCTTTTTTGACGCAGTGTAGGGGTCAGTGCTAGTCTTCTTCTAAACGACGAGTTCAAGGAAAAAATCGTCGTACTAGAATATAAATATAATGTAATGTTAACTATATTATTCGACATCAACTCTTAGCTGCTTTTATCCTCCAAAATTAGGATACTCTACCCTTAGCGTTGACAAAAGTCTGTAGTTGTTGAATTTCAAACAATTCTCTATTGAAAAAAAACAGAAAGTTTAGCAAATTTTGATTGTGACGTTCAGTCGGATGCTCGTCTACGATGTATAATTATGCTTACTGTTACGGTGAGCGAAACACTTTTCAGTGGGGGTCTTCGAAGTGACTATTCAGATCATCTTTTAAAGAAAAAAATAAGTATAACGAAAAGAACGTAATTGTACTTTTAACAAGTTTCGCACACGCTGGAAATTCGTGAACGAAGAATAAAAACGCCGTATAAAATATAGACTTTTTGCCCTTTACGTAAAACTCATGTTGTAGATGCAGAGTGCACACGATGCACTCAACCCGTGCAAAAAATAAAAGACATTAAAAATATTAGGCCCCGTCCACAAGTATCCAAGCCTGCGAGAGCAGACACCTTTTTCGGGTCTTTGAAAACGCATCTTTTTTCGTGGAATCAGTCTTCCGTCTACAGATATAACCCAAATCAGAATTAAACACTCACTAAAACACAACTATTTAAATAACGCTCTCCACAGAGGAAAGGTCGATTTCCCTCACTGGTGTGAAAGGATGAAAGAGGAAAACTATCGAAAACGAGGCGTCACGGTATGTGATCTCGCGCGGAACAAGAATGTTTCACTGCCACTTTCCTTTTTTTAACAAGTGTAGCACATCGACGTTAATTTCTCTCTTTTGGGGAAAATGTTCAAGCTTGTTATTTCTGATTACGAGTTTATCGGTAGGGCTTCTTCTATCACCACTTTCGAAAATCGAAGCGGTTAAACCACTCACCAGAGGTCGACAAACAACGCCTCGGTGGTACCTTTACACAAATGAAATTTGTAAGTAACTTTACACTGCCGTTGCCGTCATCGGAGGTTCCACTGAATTTTTATTCAAATGACACTTACCTTTTGATGACACTTCTGCTTTCGCCAACACAAGTATTGTCTTCAACTTCAGTTTCATCTTCGGGCTTTACAACAACCTCTTCTTTAGCGACTTTCACAGGTAACACAGTCTCGACCACTTCTTCCTCTTCGCCAGCATTCGAAAGCATTGCAGTTTCAGCAGCTTGTTCGAACGAAGGCTTCTTCTTTCCACCTTGCAGAAAATAAGATGCAATGATAAGATAAATTAGGATAAACCAGAAGATGTCTCTATGTCTACGTATACAGTACCCCAGAAAGCTTAGAACTGAAGTTGCGACTGAAATACAGTGGAAGCTCTTCTAATGAACACTCTCGTAAGCGGATAGCTCTACCAACGGTCGCCTTCACAAAAAACACGTTTTTCTCAACTCCCATACAAACTCTCTATTTTTCCATTCCTGTAAGCGGCCGCCAGCTCCAGTTACGGGCACCTTTTTCGCATCCCGAGGGTGGTACCCGCTCACGAGAGCTTCCACTGAATATAAACGACGACATATTTTGAATGAATAATAATAGTGGTAAATAAATCCCGTCTGGTACCCAGTATATTTAGCAATTATTGAATGAGGCTGTGAAGTACTACGATGTGAAGAATTATGCGGATCGAGGAGGATGTTATCCACCGAGGCGGAAGGCCGACGAATGCCATTTTTTTAGTTGACCCAGGAATATACAGTTACGCTGCCGCGCCTGGAAACGAGGTTGATCGATGGTATATCATAATAGTTATTCATAAATTATTTATACCGACGAATCGATGGTATATTGCTCGCATCTTCCAAATTTAGTAAGCGCCAGTTGGTTATGAAGAATTAGCGAGGGGATTGGAAACAATTAGACCGACGGCGAAATATTTTGAATGAATAATAACGAAAAATAATACCCAAGGCTGGTGAATTGTGCAAATTGACTTACTCTGGAGGATGTGAGCAATATACCATCGATTTCATGACATACTGGTTTGGAAATGAGGTTGATCGATGGTATATTTGCCTGAAAAGGAGGCTGCATAAGTAATAGACCATCGATCAACCTTGTTTCCAGACCGGATGCAAGAGACTTTTCATGCGCGGTTTTGCGGTTTCTGTCAAGTCTTTCTAATAATAAGTAATGGTAACAGGACTGAGTGGAGTTCAGTCGGGTCTGTAATCATACGAGTGATTAACAACGGGAGTCCGATTTGTTTAATCACGAGTATGATTACAGACCGAATTGGACGACACGAAGTTCTGTTACCAATTAATCATAACTCTAACAAAATTTGTGATATAATAGGCTATTTTTTAAATCAAAACACAAGAAATTCCAAATTTTGTTTTCCTGGCAGTGAAAAAAAAAAGCCATTTAATCGCGCGCGTGGTGGTGCGTACTGTCCAATTACTTAGGCATGACGCGTACTGTCCTATTAAACTGTCCTATTAAGGTTGAAATCAGGGCAGTTGATAGCCAATCAGTTTTGACAATTTTGTTATAGTTATGATAATAATAATAATAATAATAAATGTCTTTATTGCTCATTAGATAAAAACACATATCTAATGTTACAGGATAAAAAGATTAAAAGTTCAGCCAAATTACAATAGAATAAAAAGATAAAAATGTGAAAAAAAAACCTAGATAAAATATCAAACATAAAATATCATAAAAGGTGGTATTTAAAAATAGTCTATTTACAAATGTGTTCTTATAACGTTCGGTGTTTATTTTGGGCCTTTTGCAGCTTTTACGCCTACGGTTGTAGGTTAAATTGTTCTTTTCTTGCGGTAAGCAAACCTTCAGAGGGTGATTATCACCCTGTTTAACTTTTTAAAAATCGCTTTATCTTGTTTTTTCAGTAATGATCTAATATTTAACTGCGTAGATATAAAACGCAACTTATAGCATCTGTCTAAAAATTGCTGAAGGACATTAATTTCCGCATCGGGGGCGCCATAAACAGATATAGTCCGTAGTCATGTTGGGAAGAACAATGCTATAGAAGAGATAATCAATTTCTGTCTGGCTGTAGCGCTCTTTTCTACATACTCTCAGCACGTGTAGACATTTGTTGGCCTTGCACAGTTTAGCTTTTATATGTGCAAAAAATCTACAGTCATTCTAAAAGGTCAAACCTAATAGATCAAGAGTGGTATGTTGTGGTATATTACGTACAACAGGATAGAATGTTGAGTTCCTTTTCTTCTTTATGACAAGTTCTTTACACTTGTAAGGGTTACAGCTCATGGAATTACAGCTCGCCCAACTGAGTCAAAAACTTCTCCACTAAACCACTTGACGTATCACTGCCCCCTATCAATACTGGAGCGACAATGGTTGAGTCATCTTCATACTCAAAAAGGGCGGGAGTGGAACCTAGCTTGATTTCAAGGTCATTCAAGAACACGTTAAATAAGTAGGGGCCGCTCACACTACCCTGCGTTGTCCCCTTATTTACTCCTTTCCACTCGTGAAGGTGGTTGTTGTGGACCATACGTTGTTGTCCGTTATAAAGAAAACTGTGATACCAGTTGATAATATAGGCATTCAGGGGCAGCAACTTTAGTTTATCAGATAGTAGCTCGTGCCTGACTAAGTCGAACGCTTTGCTGAATGTCCATTGCGAATACCCGTTCTGCCTCACAGTCTGGATTATCTAAGTGTTTTTAGATGAAGTGCTTGATCGCTAACAGTGCACTAGTACAATTTCCACTTTCACGATAAGCAAATTCAGTGGTGCTAAGATTTTCCTCCACAGTCTCCTTCCGAAAGGTGTTATAAACAGCTTTCTCAAACGCTTAGTGAGTAGTTCTAGTGACCCTTCGGCAAAAGACGTTTCCCCACACCAGGGAGAAACCTCTGTACTTAGGGTATCTAGCTGTTTATTCACAAGTGAACTAAAAAAGACCAATCAAACAGCACAGTAAAGCAAAACCAATTCAATCCTGGATTACTGTCAACACTCAACTGAAAATTGCTCTATTCACAAGTGAACTAAAAAAAGGGCGTTCACGGCTACCCGAAGAGAAAATAGCTGAACTTATGACTAAAGCTGAACGGAAGAAATGCAAGATTACGCAAAACATACTGCTCAATGGATGTTTTCTACGTTTTAAGGAGTATCTGCAAGAAAACATCTGATAATATCCTGAAACCGTGCCAACAAATAGACCTAAGTTTAGAAGAAAGTCTAGGAGGAGGTACAATTAGCAAAGAACTTAGAGACATTAAAATAAAACAATTACTGCGGTGAATTCGGCTTCCTTATGATGTGAAGAAAAATGTAGATCTCGGAGACTGTTATCCACCTAAAATCCTCCTCGATCTGCATAATTTTTCACATCATACTCAACCTCATTCAATAATTGATAAATAAATAGGCTCTTGCTCAATATCGCCCCAATGACATTAAAAGAAAGTTAACGGCGAAAAACAGATGTAAAAAGTTACTATTTTTTCTCAAGTATACATTTTAATTTGCTTGCCATGCAAAAACGTGTCGGGTAAAATATTTACATCTTGCCACAACTTTGATCAAAAAACCATTTGTTCAGAAACGTCTTTTTTAGCCTTGATGATGCTCAGCGCAGGTTTTTGTTAGCATTCAAACAAATGCCACAGTAAGTAGTTTCATCTGAATTTCATCTGAAACTTACTAACTTAACACAAATTACGAAGGAAGGTTTTGTTTGGCCATTTCTAATTTTGTTCGCGATTTATTACAGGCAAAGACAAAAAATAATGGCACTTTTTAAATTGAAATATTTCACATATATAAGTACTATAAGTACCATTCCAAAAACTGTCTTATTGAGGACAATTTTATTGAAAATCATCCCCACACCCACCTGTAATAACAGAACTGGTTATTTCCTTTTTCTTCATCTCTAGAGCATGTATTGCATCAGAACGTAACAGATTCCCACTCACATCCAGCCACTCCAGTTTCTTTAAGTCACCAATCTCAGAAGGCAGTTCTGTAAGTCTGTTATCATTCAAGTACAGCTCCTCAAGCTGGTTCAGCTTCTGCATACTGGTAGGTAAACTAACCAACTGGTTAGAACTCACATCCAGCCTCCTAAGCTTCTTTGAGTCACCAATCTCAGAAGGCAGTTCTGTAAGTCTGTTATCATACAAGTGCAGCTCCTCAAGCTGGTTCAGCTTCTGCATACTGGTAGGTAAACTAACCAACTGGTTGTTACTCACACTCAGCCACCTAAGCTTCTTTAAGTCACCAATCTCAGAAGGCAGTTCTTTAAGTTTGTTATCAGACAAAAACAGCCTCTTAAGCTGGTTCAACTTCAGTATACTGGTAGGTAAACTAACCAATTGTTTGTTTTTCACATTCAGCCTCCTCAGCTCTTTTAAGTCACCAATCTCAGAAGGCAGTTCTGTAAGTTTGTTACCAGACAAAAACAACCTCTCAAGCTGGTTCAACTTCTGTATACTGGTAGGTAAACTAACCAATTGGTTGTTTTTCACATTCAGCCTCCTCAGCTCTTTTAAGTCACCAATCTCAGAAGGCAGTTCTGTAAGTTGGTTACCAGACAAAAACAACCTCTCAAGCTGGTTCAACTTCTGTATACTGGTAGGTAATCTAACCAACTGCTTGTTTCTCACATCCAGCCTCCTCAGCTCTTTTAAGTCACCAATCTCAGAAGGCAGTTCTCTAAGTTTGTTACCATCCAAGTACAGCTCTTCAAGTTGGTTCAGCTTCTGTATACTGGTTGGTAAACCAACCAACCGGTTGTTATCCACATACAGCCTTTTCAGCTCTTTCAGGTCAAAAATCTGAGATGGCAGTTTTGTTAGTTTGTTACCATTCAAATGGAGCCTGATAAGACTTTTCAGCTCGTTAATATTTGTTGGTAACTCAGTCAGGTTATTGTTATCCAGTCTGAGTTCCTCCAGTCCATTCAGTTCAGTGACTGCCTTAGGAACCCTCAGAAGTCCTCTGCCATTCAGATTCAAACTTGCTACTCCACCTCCATCTTTAACACAGGCTTTTAATGTTGCACTGGAATAACCCTCCATGTTTCAAAATATTAAATAAAGG